GTTTTTCACATTTTCGGCTCCAAAAAAGAATTTTAATTTTGACTTTTTTTTTTTTTTTTGGGGGGGGGGGGGTTTAATGTTCTTTCATTGCAGTTTTGTATGACTTGCAAATCTAAATCAAGATCAACAACGATGTCCGTGTTCATGCTGTGACTAATAGCACAACTAGTTGCCTCATTCAGGAGTTGTGGGTTTATTTTTAGATCCAGTCATGCCTGGTAGCTCTTGGGCCAGCACCACATCTTCCTCCCCTCTCTGTGCCCTTGGTAATGTCACCATAATGCTGAAAACATTGCTGGCTGAGTTATCATGGTGATGATCTCACAAGAGGATGCAGCTTTTACTTTGTATGGTTTGGGGAGAACACTCATCCGGGCACTGATGTGCCTGTGGGTTAATTTATGCAAGCATGTCCCAGTACATGTGGGTATGGGAGATGTATGTATACCTGAATTGTCCTAATTTATTGATCAGTGAAAATAGTAAATTAAGCATACCAAAAATAAAGCTAAAGTTGAGAAGAAACCATGGAACTGTTTTTTTTTTTTTTTTTTTTTTTTTTTATAGGTTTTATCTATTTTATTGTCTGGTGTTCTGTTGCAAATCCCATCATTTTCTTAGAAACAGATGTATGTGCACACAAGCACACGTGTATGTTTTAGTCCATGATCCTTCATTAATCCAGAATATAAATAACTTGATTTGACTGATGCAGTTTAAAACCATAAATACCAAACTCTGAGATGAGCACCGCTTCTTGTGCATGTTTGCAATCCTTCCATTGTGTTTAATGTATGAAAAATCGACAATCATTGGATAACCTTATTGAATATCAGTTGGCTCGCTCTGCATCTACCTATGTATCGCCTGATATCATTGCATCCAGATCCCGATCCCAGTCTGTAGCTTCGCTTTGGCTTGGGACCTGGATTGTTTGGGAATAATGCGCCAAAGAGTAGACTGGCAGAAAGATCCCGGCCAACACAATATTCCACCTTTTCCAAAATAAACATAAAGGAGATTTCCTCCTCTGGCTTTGGTCTCACAGTTGTTCATCTACCATTTCAATCTTCTTCAGAAGTTCATAGACCCTGGGGTGAACAGGAGGCCACTTACAGAGTTAAGAAAGGATGAGAAAAAGAGCACTCGCTGTGAAAAAAAAATGCTGTGAGAGATAAAAATGA